AAACGACGGTGCTGACACCTTCCGCGGAGGTAGGATCACTTTATAAGCGTTGCCACGTGTTATTATTATGTTTTTTTTTTAAGAAAACACGTGAAAGATGTTCGTTGTTAGTTTCTTTTTTTATTTTTTTAAATTATTCTATGATCATTGAATTATAAGTAAATTCAAATAATTATTTAAAAAATAATTATAATATTTTCTTCATTCTTATAAAACATATTCTTTTAATTGCGTTCTAATTAAGATTCTCGATTAATTACTTAATTAATACCGTTATTTTTTATTAAACTTATTTATATTTCATTAATATTACTATTCTTCGTTAAAAACATATACATCTTATTAATTATGCTACACATATATACACCATCATAATATAAAATATTACAAATCACGTGTAGTAACATAAAATTGAAATTGAAATTATAAATTTTCATAAGATAGTTAATATATTAACTGAGTAAAGAATTATCAATCAAATAGTTAATTTTATTATTATGTTGCACGTTATATCAATAAATAATTAATTTATTATGTGATAGGCCAAGTCAATATAATGTTGAAGAATATACTTAAATTGTAAATATTTGTATCTTGTATTTAATTATGATGTAAAATTTAATTTAATTAAATTAACTTATTTGTTTATAATAAATCAAAGAAGATAGGAATTTGAACCATTTAAATTAATTTAATTTTTTATTCAAACAATATAGAGTAATTCAATTAATTATTTACCATCAATAAATATGGAATAAAAATATTTTTTATAGTAATGTAGTTTTAATAATAAATTTCATTATGTTGGATGATACAACATATAACATGTCTATTTTGCTTCACATGTCATGTTATTAATGCTGTTAATTAAATAATTACACTTACTTGAATCGGACAAAATATTTATATCTTTTTGTTCTTTATTTTTCAATAAATATTCTTGTTAAGTTCTATTAACGTCATTTGATTAAATATTTGTGTAAAAAAAATGTATTTATTTATGTTTTTTGTTGTTATTAATGTTATTGTACTTTCAATAAATATTCTTATCAAGTTATATTAACATCATTTAATTGAATATTTGTATAAAAAAATATGTTTATTTATATTTTTTTTGTTCTTATTCTTATTGTACTTTCAATAAATATTTTTATTAAGTTATGTTGATATCGTTGAGATATTTACCATATATTATTAGATTTAACACGTAATATTTATTTAATTAGTTAATTTTCTTCATAAGATATCATGTTATATTTGAAATATAAAAATAACGTATTCGCTAGTTCTTCTTAATAAAAATCAATAAATTGAAAATAAAAACAACAAAAAAATGTAGTTCCCAATTCCTCTTTCCCTTCATCATCATCTTTCTTGATGACAAACGCATCATCCCTCTCCTTGGCAGCCATAACCATCAATATATGCCCCTCAGACAAGGCTATACGACAAACATATTATCTTTTCTCGAGAAATGCCCTCGTTAGCATATGCTTCTTCCTCCTTCTAGTGGCCAAAAATAGAAGCCTAATCCTAAAAACCTTCTTAGATATGTTCTAATATATCAATGGCTTAAATATGGGTAATCAATTTAAAAAAAATTTAGGAATATTTTTTCTAATGACAAAAAAGGCTATTGAGATATTTAAAGAATTTTCATTCGATCATAACTATTAGTCGTACCCCTTTCTTCAATGATTTCCCCAATGAAGAAAAGCTCATGTATGCATGTGATCCAAACTCCATTGTCTATGAAGAATACGATAACCAAATGTTGTTCGACTCCTAAAAAGATATTGTTTTAGAGCAAAAAAATCACTTTGATTATCACACCTTTCACATTTCTTCTCACAAATCATCTCAATGGCCTCATTTTCCTTTAGATTAAAAGTTTATGATTCATTGTCGGTGGACTTATAGATATTTTGAAGGTTGACAAAGAGGGTGGTGACGAGTATGACGAAGTGGAAAGGGAGAGTGTAGAAAGTAAGTTTTAAATTTTAATATTTTTTTTTTAAAAATATTAAAAATAATCAAATATTTCTACATTTTTACATATTATCACGTAACATTTAACATGAAAATATGTTTAATCAAATAATATTATGTGTTGAATTCTGAAAATATATGATAAATGTATTAATATTATTAATAAAAACTAATGAATATGAGTTAACGTAAATAATTAAATATAAAAATTAAAAACAAAAAGGTCCTATACCAATCAAATTCAATAAAAATAAGTACCCAAATATTATTAGGCATATACATCACACACACACACACACATATATATATATATATATATATATATGCGAAATACTCAATAACATAACTCTTTTCTCAAATGAGAATCTTCTATTAAGTTTTAAGGTGCAAATTTAGAAACATATTCTTCAACTATAAATAGATAAAGATGTGATAGTTTTAATTTTTAAAAGAGCAAGATTATAAGAATTGGTGTATGCTATTTAAAGAGGTGAGTACACATTAACTTTTGGTAAAAAGTGAAAGAACAATTCATTTTGTGTTCATGGTGATAGGTTTTAATTTTCAAACACCATATTAGGAAATTTTCTACTAGTTTGATATGAAACCCAATTTCAAATCTTTGTTATAACCTAAATTTTTATTACTTTCCAACGATTTATTTATTTTTTTCTTCGACTTCAATTTTTCATTATCTAGCAATAGATTCACACGTATATATGTTAGAGTATATAAAAAATAATTTCACGCTTATTTAGTAATAGCATTTAATTTTTTTTTCTCATCTTATATCGTATGTTACTTAAGTGGATAAAATCTTAAATTTAGAATTGAATGACCTAAAAAAAAAATACTTACGTTAATACACGAGTTATGATAATAAATGATAATATGTCAGCAAGCTTTGCAATAGATTCTATTTAATAAGTACTTTTAGGTTTTATTGAGAATTTAAAGAAAAACTATTTTTTAACATGGAAAGATAATTTGATTAAGAATATTCATAATTAACACTCGACTTAATGAATTAAAAAACAAATGTCTGACTATAAATAATTAATTAGAACTTATTATGAAAAACCGTATATGAATATTTTTAGAGAAATAGATAGCTTGTAGTATTTTTAAGATAATGTATTTGAAATCATTCTTAGTAATTTCTTATATCGAACTAACATTTGACTTTCCATACACATGATGATTGCATGACACTAAAATGAAATTCAAATAAAATATTTTATTAATTGATGATTAAACATATTTTATATCCCTTATAAAACTAATGATCCTAAATATATAAATTTAATTGTCCAAGTTTAGTAGATTTGGTGAGTTACCCATGAAATTTTAAATTTTCGTTTAGCAAAATTAATTTTTAAAAGTTATTGGTTATTAAGTGGGTATTATATATAAATATATATATATATATAATTGATATATTAACAAATATATTTTTTTTAATGAATAATCAAATATTTATTTGACTTTTTAATTTCAACATTTCTTAATCCTTTTGATTCTTTCCTATTCGAACCTTCTTTTTTCCTATTCTCCTCTTTCTTTCTTGTTTTCTGTATCTTCTTCGCCGGACTAGGGTTTAGTCCCTGCAAATAGGGAAGTTGTTCCCCGTCATATGCAGAATACAGAACAGAGAGAGTGTTTCCCGACAATAAATTCTCAAGGCTTCGGTCTGTTCTTGGGTTTGGTTCGAGGAAATTTGTTCATACACCGAGGAAGCAATGGCGGCAAGCTGTTATAGTTTGTTGGGGGGGAGGGGGGGGGGGGGGGTGGGCAATT